CCGCCACTCGAGCAGCGCGAGCGCCGGCAGGCGGGCGAGCTCGCCCGGCAGCGCCAAAGTGGACGCGCCGCGCAGCGGCAGGCCGAGGCGCCGCTGCGCGCCCGCGATGAGAGGCGCCGCGCGGCCCGGGTCCATGCACAGCAGTCGCGGCAGCCGCATTGCCATGGTCCTAATCTGCGGCCCCAGCAGCGGCTCGCTGCCGTCGCCACTGCTGCCGCCATCTCTCCCGCCACCATCCTGCGCTTCTGCCAGCGCGGCGCTCACGGCGAACGCCAGCCTGGCGGTCCGCGCGTCCAGGCCCTCGAACGCCGCCACCACGAGCAGCCCCGGCTCCGCTGTGGCCAGCTGCTGCCAAATGGGCTGCGTATCTGGTGCCTCCGTGCTCAGGCCGTCGAGCTGCAGCGACGAGCCCCCTCCAAAAGGCGCCTCGTCAGCCTCACCGGCTGCGCCGTCACCAGCATCAGCACCCGCCTTCGAGCTGCTTGCCGCCGGCGCCATCAGCCACGCCTCTCGGCGCCTCACCTCGGCCGCCCGCTGCTGCGCCGCCCCGCTCGACTCGAGGTCGCGGCATGCTGCTGCGGCTGCATCGGCAGACAGCCCTAGCAGGGCCGGTGCGCGCAGCGCTGCAGCGGTGGTGGCGCAGGGGGGCAGGTCCAGTACCTCCGAGAGGAGCTGCAACGCAGCAGAGAGGTCTTGCAGGCTGGACCATTGCTCTTGCCGTTGGTACTGGTGCTGTTCCTGCTGCTGCTGCTGCTGCTGCCGCTGCTCCTGCTGCTCCTGCTGCTGTGCCAGCGCCCGCCGCTTCACCTCAAGCTGCCATGGTTGCTGCTTTCGATGTTGTGCTGACAGACCCTGCTTTTGCTGCTGTTGCTGATGTTGCTGCGGCCGCTGTTGCTGCTGCTGTTGCTGTTGCTGATCCTCCTGTTGCACGTTGTCGTCCCCCGCATGGCCAGCCTCATGCATGGCCGTCGGCTGCGCCGGCAGCAGCAGCAACCGCGGCCACCACAGCAGCAGCCGCACCAGCCGCCGCGGCGCCAGCACCGCAGAGCGACCGGCACCTCCCCTGTCCTCGACGCCACTGCCGAGGGCTTTCGACACGACGCTGCAAATCTCCTGCATGCGGCTTGCGACCTGGACTGCTGATAGGCCAAGAAGATCTTCAGACGCCTGCAGATCTGCCCCCAAGATCCCCACTGCGTCCGCCACCGTCGAGCTCAGCGCCAATGCCAGCGCCTCCGCGCGCGCGGCCAGGCGGCCGCTGGGCGCGAGCAGCAGCGCGGGCGTGCGCAGCGCAACCGTGGCCGCCGCGCGGTGCGGGATGCGGGCGGTGCGGGCGAGGAGGGCTGTGCGGGACTCGAGGACGTCGGGTGGCACGTGTGCCAGCCAGGGCGCGGCGGCGACCTTTAGGGATGCACGGGTGGGGAGGCAAATTCGAGTGCGCGAGGCAGTGATTGCAATTATGTTGGGTACAGAGGGCAGATAAGGCTGAGCACAGCCATGCTGCGACGGCCGGTTGCCAAAAATAGGCCCAGGTCATTGCCTGGGATTGGGTGGCGATGCGGGAAAGAAGTGCGGCGTGCACAGCCCCCGTGGCAAGCCTCAGCAGGAGTCCTTCATTGGCCGCCGGCCCGCGCGACGCGCTGCAGGGCGTCGCGCGCGGCGCCCACCTGCGCGGCCACATCCGCCGCGTCCGCCCCCAGAGCGCGCGCGGCGGACCGCATCTGGAGTGCGACCTCCAGGGTCGTCCTAGTCAGCAGGTAGGGGACAGCCTCGTAGAGCCGCGCCGCCAGGGGCGCGCTGACCTGGAGGGAGGCCGCCAGCGCAGTGCTGCGCTCGTGCACTGCGGGGCCGCGAGGTTGGATAGCCGGGCGGGGGAGCGAGGGGGGCGGCGGCGCGGGCTGGAAATGAGTGGCGCACGGGCGTTTTGCTGGGGCGGTGGCTCGGCGTGCGAGGCAACCAGAGGGCGATTCGATCAGAGGGTTGCACATAAGCAGCCGAGCCAGCCGCTCCCTGGTCAACGCCTCCCCAGGCTCCCGACCAAGCCTAAATTTGTGATGCTTGCTTGGCCCCTTTTGCACTCACGTACTACATCCCTGAAACGCCCGCCAAGCTTCCCGAAAGTCGCCTCCCTTGGCAGCGCGTCGTTCATCGGGAAGCCACCCCGCTGCGCCGGCCGCCGCCGCGCCGCGTTGTGCTGCCGCCGCTTCACGTACAGCCGCACGTCCGATGCCGCGTAGTGGGGGCCGTATGCGGCCTCCAGCTCAGCGTACATCTGCTGCTTCGCCTCTGCGCGCGTGCGGGGCGGCTCATCGGGCAGATCCATATCATCATCAGCCCAGGGGTCGAGGGCGGCGTCCTCGACGTCCAGGTCAGCATCTGACCAAGCGCCGCCGCCGTCGCCGTTGCTTTCGTCGTCGCTGTCGCCGGGGGACGCGTCGCCCAATACCCGCGCGAGTGCGGCCCACTCATCGGTGTCGAAGCCGTCGTCGTCGCTGCCGCTGTTGAGGCCGGTGCCGCCCCGCTGCGGCTGCGGATTGAACAGCCGCGACCGCCCCGCCGCGGCGGCAGCGGCCGAGCGTGTGCTCCAGTGTCGGCACCCCAGGACGCCCGGGCCCCAGCCATGCCGCGCGACGAAAGGTGTCTGCCGGAGGGAGAGCCTGCCCAGGCCTGCTTTCAGCAGCATGGCGCTGCCTTGTGCCTGCGTGCCCCCTTGCTGCCCGCCGCCGCACAGCTGCGTTATCACCCTACTGCAGCACAGCCGGCCCCCCGCGCTGGCAATACGGCCGCTAGCCACGGAACTCCGCACACTGAATTGAAATGACATTGTGTCCAATTTCGCAAGGCCTTGTGCGGTCATGCAGGCTCAGTACGGAGCGCAGGAACGATCTCAGCACGAAGATTTACACCGTATGTGTCCTCGACGCAGCATATTGTCGTGCGCACCAATGTATAATTTGAAGCTCACTTGCTGTACTGGGCATGGTCGTGCGTCATCCGTCGCTGCGCGTCGCCCCAGAATGTGTCGCCAACAAGGTAAAGGAGTGAAAGGTTGGGTCCTGTCATTCGGTGAGCCCTCAAATGAGCGTCCTCCCTTGCCTAACGTGCCCCAACCTCCTCCATCTTTCGACATTCAAGGACTTTATCCTACACGTACAGCGAAGCATGTGGCCTGTTACATGAGAACCCATGCCATGCAGGAGGACATCTCTTCGGGGCAGCAGCCAATCGAACAGACGCGTGGCATGCGCCCGACATCCGCAGGCGAACCTGATCATCTTGCTCAAGAGGAGTGCAAGTTTGTAAGAGCAAAATGCTCGGCCCCTGCACTGCAAATGCGTGGGGCCGAGAAAGAAGTGACGTGACGCAAATGCGTGGTTTGCTGAGCCGAGGGGCTGAACACGAGCTGTGAGAAGCAACAACCATACTGCGCACAAGAGCCTCACACATATACAAGCATTCAGTCACATGTTTTTGCTGTAAGCTCTACGCAATTATTGATCGGGCAATATCGACCAGCAGCTGGGAGCGTGAACGACTAGCTGAACATGCGCACGACGACGGCACCACCACGGCACAGGCCTGCAGCCCACACGCAGAAAAAGCTTAGGTTCACCGCTGCCCTCGCGCGCAGGGCCGCCACCCGCAGCCAGCCGCGAGCGCCCCAGCGTCACCACTTGATCTTGTGGTACAGCTTGCTGCTGCCGGCGGGCGACGCCCTGAGGACCGCGTCCCACTGCTCCGGCGTGATCAGGGCGTCCCATCGGTACAGGTCCTCCCCCGTCCGCGGGTCCCACCCCGCCGCCGGGTGCCCCGGCTGCCACCCGGCATCCACCACGCACCACTCGGGGCTCAGCATGCAGATGCTAGGCGCCGTCAGCTCGTCGCACTGCACGCGGCCGCGCCGCATCTCCGCCGCGATCGCGCGGAGCAGCCGGCGGCTGTAGCGCGCCGCGTGCCTGTAGCTCTTCCACTCCTGGCCGCGCTCCAGCCAGTTGTGGCAGGTGTGCCAGAACCAGCGGCGGGTGGACGGCTCGGTCTCATAGGCCACCCAGTCAGCATTAGTCGTGTTGACAGTCATCAGCAGAGCGTCCACGATGTTGCCAGTCCAGGCGACGTCCAATTCGACAGACCACACCTGCTCCGCCCACGACGGGAGGGCGGCGCCGTACTGCTCGTGCCTTTGGAGTTGGGGGGCAGCCAGGGGCGGCGGCGTCAGGAGATTGGGGAGCGGCGCGTGCGAGGGGAATGCTGGGAAGGAAGGTGTGCAGGTGATGTGGCTGACCACAGGGCTGTCAATCAGTTCGCCCAAACGGCATGGCCCTCCCACGGCGGCAGAGCGCGCAGGCGCTCTCTTGACACATGCTGATATCGCTGCTGCTCCCTGATGCTCCAATCCAAGCCCATGCTGCTCCTAGCCGAGCGGGGCCGCTTGCACCTGCCACCCACCAGGCGGCCCTGACCGTCAAACCAGACCGCGCCCCGCCCACCATGTGATGTCCACCACGTCGTTCGTCGACCACGCCCACTTCTTCTGGCGCATCTGCTTCGTCAGCAGCCGCTTGTAGGCGCCCAGCACGCCCTCCCCCAGCGCCGCGACCACCTGCTCGCGCCCGATGACTACGACTGACTCATCCCCGAGCGCGTCCCGCAGCGCGTTGAGCGTCATCCGCTGGCGTTCCGACGCCGGCAGCCCCGTGCCCTCTGGCAGGGAGGAGGGGTACAGCGAGTACACGAAAACGTACCAGCCGCCCGCGGCCTCGACCTGCTGCTTCGCGAGCTGCGCGGCGCGCAGGCCCCTGAGCGTGATGGGGTCCGCCGACTTGTGCACAAACGCCACCCGCCGGTCGTGCGGCGGCCTCCAGGCCGTCATCTGCTGCTCCTTCCGCCGCCGCTCGGCCAGGCGCGCCGCGGCGCTCGCCTCGCGCGGCCGGAACAGTGCTGCGACGCGCCCCGGGATGGTCTCGCGGCCGCCGCTGCTGTCCAGCCGAGGCAGCTGGGACGCCAGGTCGCTCGCGGCGAGAAGCAGCAAGAGGAGGCCGGCCGCGGCCGCCAGTTGGACTCTATGGCGGCGGCGCTGCGCGGTCGCTGCGGCCGTGGCGGCGGCGGCGGCGGCCGCCTTTCCAGAGTGGCCGACGCAATGGGCCTGCAGAAGGGGGGACAGGTTTGGTCTGATGACCCCAACTTCGCCAGACTGCAGTGCAGCTACGCATGGGCGGTGACCGCATGTGCACAGCGTGCGCATATGGCGGCGCAGAACACGCTGGCTGCATGCCGCGCGTCCCGCACCCCACCTCGCCCATGACGCTGTGACCTTGCCACACGATTTGAGCCGTGGTGAGGAGGGCTGTCCAGCAGGTCGCGCCGTTGTGTAGAGGCGGCGGTCTGAAAGCGGAAAAAGCGCTATGCCATGTGGCACGTGCTGCAGCTCGGATGGGCGCCGGCGGGGCGTGCACACTGGCGCAGCGCCTGCGCGCGCTGGGCGCGATGCTGCCCGCCGCCGCCGGCGCGAGGGGCTCTCCCACGTCGTAAGGCGTGTTGAAGCTGCGTGTACGATGTTTTCGGGGCCTCGGGGCTCCGGGTCTATGCTGAATGCAGCCAACAGCTGGCGAGTGCGATCACTGGTCTGTCAAACAGCGTGAATAACGAAAGATACATACTCGTTGTGAACAACAATTCCGTGCCCAACACCGAATGGTAACCAGCCAAGCCTGAGGGTGCTGCACCACCTGCCGAGCACGCCCAAAGTTCGAACGCACGACGGCGGTGCTCCAGGCACTGGGCTGGCCGGAATGGGCGCCTCAGCGCAGCTGCGCCCTCGTCTCCTCATGTGAGACATGTCCAGCTCCCATCAAATCACAATAGGATGCCACGCATGAAAGCGCCCCAACCCGGACTGCATACCGCAAGCTGTGGTGCCGTGGTGCACCACTCCCGCCGCGCGGCTGCGCCGTAAGATTTGCCGCAATTCCCGTTCGATCCCGTCCCCTGCGTGATGAGTACATTGAGTCACAAAGTACAAATCTTTGTTCATATTGCTGCACACTTCCTGATTCACACATCCCCACCCGGGCTTATGCCGCACGGTTTGAGTTGCTTACAGAAGGGATGCCTGCCAAATGGGCAGGGGTGCGTTTCTAAGTGTACAGACGGGGTCGCGCCTGCTAAAAATCCTCCCCTGTTCAGGACTTCTTCGCGCCTCTCTCTCGCTCGTTTTAAGTGGGTGAGCGTCATGCGCATGCGCGCGGTATGCCGGTGCATTGCAGCCGATCGTGGTGCGCGGCAGCGACCATAGGGAGTGGGACCGTACAGTGCGTGACAAAGCAGCCGGAACAAATATTTCCAACAATTTGCTGCACACACACGAACCGCACACCAACCATGACAGGCGTACAGGTGGGGGACTGACGTTGATGAAGATGAGAGTGATGAGATAAACAGACAACGAAACAGGGAACAACTGCCCGCAGCAAGGCAAGGAACATGCAGCGCATCGGCTCAGCTGCGCTCGCGCGCATTGCTGCCTCCAGGGCCCCAGCAAGCACGCCCAGCCTGGCAGCAGGGCGCACAGGCCGCGGGCCCGGCGCGGGCCGCGTGCTCGACAGGCTGCCCGTGCTCGGGCGCAGCAACAGCAAACAAATCACAGTGTGGTTTCGGCGCCGCCCTCGGGCTGCGCTCAGGCCTTCTTCTTCAACACCTGCTCCTTGATGAAGAAGGCGGCCAGGAACACGGGCGCGATGGCGCTGCACAGCGCGACGGCCACCTTCATCGAGACGGGCGTGCTCTCGATAATCTGAGTGCCGACGTAGGTCTGGTTGACGCTGGTGTCGTACTGGCAGAAGCCGGTCGCGGTGCCGTTCTTGCACTCGACAAACACCTGGGCGTACCACGTGGCCTTGGGGGTGGACTTGGTGACCGCCCAGGTGGCGGTGTAGGTGTTGTTGGTGGCGGAGATCGGGACGGTGCCGATGACCTGGGGGCAGGCCTTGTCCTTCTGCGGGGGTTGGGAGAGGGGGTGGAGAGGGCGAGGGGGGAAGCTGGTAAAAAATTGGGTGTTCTGAACAACCTGAAAAGCTGCTCAGAGTTGCTCTTCCAAAGCACGCCCCAAAGCCGCACCACAGACAGACATGCTCAGACGTCCGGCCGGTGCAGCGGAAGCCGCCCAGAGTCCTGCCGCCCACCAACCAACCGCGCCCCCGCCGCAACCCAGCCCCTCCCGCGCCCGGCGTCGCCGCGGCGCCGCACTAGTCCCGAAGCCCACTCACGTCGATCACATCTCCGGGCTTGCGCCAGGGGCGGTCCACAACAAAGGGCTTGGCGAAGCACAGGCGCATCACGACGTTCTCGGGGGCGAGGCCGTCGACGACCTTGAGGGGCGCCGCGTGCGTCGCGACCACGCGGATCTTGTCGTTCGAGTCGGCGGACAGGAGGGGTTGGTTGCAGGGCGCGCTGATCAGGGGCTTGTCGCACACCTGCGTGT